TGTTTGATATAATTTATCAGTTAAAATGTATATGAGCCTGTTGTCATATAGGTAAGTTTTCAAGCTAGGAATATACTTTCTTTAATAGGTGCTATTCAAATTTTATATTTCCTCAAGAGTTAGTTTCATTAATTTGTCTTTCATGGTACTTCTTAGAAGTTGTCAAATTTATTTTTAAAAAATGATTTTTGTAATATGCTTTCTATATGCTTTTAAATTCTGTAAAATCTGTGGTAATGTCTCCTAGATCTTGATATTTTAATTTTAAAAATGTACAATTGATATTGTGTAATAGCAAGAAATGGTCTAAAGGAGCAGGGGAAGTCGGAGGGGTAGGGGAAAGGGACAAAGGGCAAAGAAAAAATAGGAGAAAAGGAAAAAAATGGAAACAAAGTCTTTGCAAATAGGGAAGGGAGGGCAGGGGAAGGGGAAAAACATAAGAACCAAGATACTCATGCAATGGTACAAGATCCCAATGATGAATGTAACTGTATTTTATATCTAAAATGTACCAATAAACTTAATGGGAAAAAAAAGAATGTCTGTAATATATGTTGTAGGCGCTTTTATTTATTGACATTATCCCCAACAGCTAGAAGAGCACATAATAAGTGTTCAATAAACAGTTGTGCCTTCAGCATGGTTTACAGATTTTTATCATCCGTAAGATAGAATTTCCTCTTTAAGTTCCATTCATCTATCAACAAATATTTATTGAATGCCTATATTACACATATCACACTACTAGATGCTATAAAACTACAGCAGCAACAAATCTCTAGAAATTTATAAATTGATTGGCTGAAAAGATAAAAACAAAGTACCATATACTTTCGTGGTACAAAGGAAAGACAATTTCAGTTCTGTGTGAGGGCCACATGAGTACATAAGCATTTGCAATGAGCTTTAAGTGAAACAGGATTTAGGGTGGAGATGTGCTTTTCCAGGATCTGAAAAAGCAAAGATCCTGAGAAACAGGAAGGTAAAAGAAGGATCAAAAGGAAAGAAGCAGGGGGCGGGGGGGGGAGGAAAGAAGGGGAACAGGGAGTTAGTTGTCTAATGTGCCCAAAATCTATGGGATAAGGTGGAGATAAGTCTAGAGAAGTAGATTGGAAAATTTAGTCAAGGACCTCAAATAGCAAACTCTACTCAACAGACAACAGTGAGCCACTGAGACTTTTTGAGCACTGGAAACAGTTTTAGAAAAATATATCTACCAAGGACCTGGGTTCGATCCCCGGTACCAAAAAAAAAGAAAAAAAGAAATCCAGCTAAGTGTAGTGGTACACATTTGTCATCCCAGCACTCTTGGAGACCAAGGCAAGAGATTACAAGTTCAAACCCAATCTGGGAAACCCAGTGACTTAGGAAGATCATGTCTCAAAATTTAAAAAGTTGTGGATGTAGCTTAGTGTGAAGGCAATTGATTCAATCCCTAATACCACAAATGACAGAGACAGACAGACAGACAGACAGGCAAGGGTGGGAGGATAGAGGAGAAGAAGACAAACCTAATAGTTTGTAAAGGCTAGATACATTATAAATTATGACTAAAGAACATATACAATGAAAAAACAAACTAGGCCTCAAGTATATTGGAGGATGCCACGTATGACAGGAATGATGAAAAACAACTGAAGGAATGAAGGGCTTACCATCAAAGAGATTAAAGGAGAGCCAAAAGGAATTTCAAAGAAAGGGTGGCCAATGGAGCCACAAAACCATGGCCTAGTAAATTCCACATAAAGACAAGGGCCACGTCTGTTTTTTGCACTGCTCTATCCACACCACTTAGGTAGTATCTTTCATGGTGTGAGCTCAGTAACTATCTGTTAAAAGAATGACCAGAATAGTAGACACGAAAAAGATCTTGCATATCTAGTTACCTAACAGGTGGATCTTCACAATAATATCAAGCTATACCCACGGTATTCGAGGGTGAGAGGTGGTAAGTGGCAGTCATCCACACTTTCTGAGGCAGTCCAATTTATTCTCAGCTAGTTCATATTCTTAGGAACAAATTTCTTATACTGAGTTGTATCCTTTTAACTTCTATTCTCTGGAGCAATATAGGTCATATTCTTCTTTCATATTACCCTTCCAAAACTTAATCCAGTTCCTTCATCTACTCCTGTTAATAAGAATTACTATTTATGGTGAGCTTATTATGTTACAGGCATTGGCTCTAGATCTTTATAAGCATAGATCTCAGTTAACCCTCAAAAGGAGTAAGTACTTTTCTCCATCTGACAAATAGGAACATGAAGATAAATAAAGTTACATAACTTGCCAAATTTAAATCCCTAACAAACTGCAGAAATAGGATATGAACTGGGGCATGATTGATGCTAGAACTAATTAAGAAAATCAGCTTCCTTTAAATTATATAGTTTCAACTTTCCTCAATCTCCCCTTTATCTATTTTGATTTATCATTCTCTCTCTTAAAGTGTGATCCCAGAATTCCAGATGTTTTTTGACAAGCATAAAGTGAAATTTTTCTGTCTTTTAGATATTCTACTTTTACTAAAACTGAATTAAGTTTTAATTCATCCCAAGACTGAATTAGATTTTTTTGGTGGTTGTTTTTTGTTTTTGTTTTTGTTTTCAATACTGGGAATTAAACAAAGGGTTCAATATCTCTGAGATCTATCTCTACCTCTTTTCCCATTTTTAAATTTTGAGGCAGGGTCTCATAAAATCACTAAATTGGGGAGTCTAGGCTAAAATGTTTCATCCTCCTGCCTCAGGATACCAGAGTGTTGGAATTACAGGCATGTGCAACCATGTTGATTCTTTTTTTTGTTTGTTTTTTCTTTCCTGCTACCAGGGATCAAACTCAGGACCTTGTGCTTGCAAGGCAGGAGTGGTGCCACTGAGCTAAATCCCCAGCCCCTTTCCTGTTCTTTTTTTTTTTTTGTACTGGGGATAGAACTCAGGACCTTGAGCTTGCAAGGCAGGCACAGTGCAACTGAGCTAAATCCCCGGTTCTTCCTGTTGATTCTTTTTTTTTTTTTTCCTTCCTGTAGATTCTTAATTAGCACATACTAAACTAAAACTTCCAAGCTTTTTTTTCAGTTGTGACACATTTATTGGGATGATCCACGGGACCAGGGTCTTCTAAGACTTTTTGACATGAAGTAGAAAATGTGCTTGGAATCTGCTCCTTGTCCTTTTCTTTGTTAAAGCTTTGGAGTAAGAACAATCTAACTCCTAGGGAACTCCCTACTGAGTCTACTGAAACAATTAGTTGAGTCCTAGGAATAAAGAAGGTTAAAGATCTCTAATAGAATATGTACTGATATTAGCTAATATACCTTATAAATTTAGATTTGAACATAAGAGTTTGATGGACTAATAAAAATATAAAAGTAAAGCAGTTTTATGGTTAACAGACCTTTTTAAGTGTAAGGAAGATAAATTGGCAAATATTTAAATTATTAAATTGATAACATGAATGTCAACAACATAATAGTAAGATGCAGTCAGTTGCAAAAGCATTTATAAAAGACTGACCAAGAAGGAAAAGAGTATGCAAAAAAGTAAGCAAGGAATCTATCAGAGGGAAATTTCCCATTTTATACTTCAGTATTGGGTCAAAATGTTGTAAATGAGATCCATGTCTTTTTCTTTTATTTATCCCCAGAACCCAATAAATAGCCTCAGGTATTGGAAATTCTCAGTTAACTGTTGGACTGAATTGAATCACCATTTTCACAGCCTTTGGTAACCAATACCTAAATTAGTTTTAATTTCCACTAAATTGGGGGGGAGTAGACAGCAGAATATGGGACTACATTTTCTTTTGTATTGAGAAAATTTAATTACAAATGTTTGGAAGACAAGCACTTTGTCAAATCCAATGCTATTTGTAGAGGCCCAATTACTTGGTTGTACTTTCGGGGACCAGTATTATTATAACATACTGAGATTTAGAACAGCCAGGGATTTAGCTCAGTGGTTCTGCTGCCTGCCTCAAAAGCGAAAGGTCCTGAGTTCAATTACCAGTGAAAACAAAACAAAACAAAACACTATGAGACATTTAGAACAGTGTAGAGCTTAAAGTTTTTAAACTTTAGAACCAGATCACTTGGATCCAAACTCCATTTATGTGACCTTTGGCAAGTTACTTACCTTCTCTGTACCTCAGTTTATTCATCTAAAAGATAGAAATAATAGTATTTACCTTATAGGGTTGTTGTGTGTATAGGTAAAGCAATATGAACAACATCTGAAAAAGTACTGTATAGTATTTGCTATCACTATGATTACTTTTCAATGGTTTTTCTAATTAATTTGATAATATTTTGCTCATGAACAACCTACATGGTTAAGACTTTTTGTAAGAATATAAATACTAATCATTTCATTTGAGTTCCAAGCAAGAATGGTTTATGAATATGCTACTTACACTAACTTATTAATTTTGTTCTGCTGCTCCTTGGATCTTCTGTACTTTAGTAGCTTTATTTGTTTTGGTGTGACAGCATATAGGTTTTCTGGAGGGTAGACAATGGGTGGTAACTTCAACTTCAGAGCCTCCTTTTCTGCTGAAATGGCAGCTTCGTTTGGATCAGACATCTTGGTCCCCTAAAGATTAAAATAGTATGTACTCTGAAAAGAAAAAGTCCACACACCCGTTATTGTAAAAGCAAGCCTCAATATAGTCATAGCTTATATATCAATACCAAAAATAAAATTCTACATCCTTTTAGATCTTCCCCCCAAGTATGATGTTAGCTAAAGCATGGCAGTTGAGGTAAGTGGGCAGGGATTCCTGTTGGAGCTGAACTACTCATTTGCTAGGAAAAATGAAGACAAACATTTCCTCTTCAGTGCTTGAAATAAAAGAACTGAATTGGTGCTCTGTAAATATCCTTCAAGCTCTAAAATTCTGGGTTAGAGTATTTCCCTAACCAACATTAAAAAAGAAAAAAGAAAATCCAATTGTTGAAAGAGAATCTCCTCCTCCCAGAAAAGCTGGTATTTAACATCTTAACATTATTGCTAATCTTGCTGCCTTCCTAGTGATATTATGATCAAGCACAAATATTTGTACTTAATGCACAGCAAATCTAAAATATCATATAAATGCTCAACAATTGATACCTATCCAACTGTGATATCAACTACAATTGCCATAAATGCCCACAAGATTTGGAGATTCCTACCTTCAAAGAGTATTTCTGGTGGAACCAAATCAAGATCACCTGGTCAGGAAGAGAGATCAAGAGAAGAGCAAAGAACAAATACAGTACCTCTAATTGTTTCTTGTCTCAAGGAAAGAGAGAGACTTCCAGAACCTCTCCTTTGGTGATAAGAAGGAGTTTAATGAAGGGTAAAACCTTCAGAATGTCACTTGTTCCCTGCCCAGTAACTGGTGAGCTATGGTCACCAAGTGAGTTTGAAAACAACTTTGTTGTCGTCCTGGAAACTATCCGTGGCCACTTTGAGAAGGGCTGGACAAAGTAGGGAAGAGAGGAGCAGCTGCTGAGCTACAATAGATTAGGGTCACTTGTCACAACAATAATTCATTACTCAAGTAAATGGAGAGTGAGGTGTTTTTTTAAACCCAACTGCCTTCCCTTGGAAGGGGTTCAGGAAATCAGTCTTTTAAATTGTGGAAAACTGCAAGATTAGAAATTTGGATCCATTGGAAACAAAACAAAACAAAACTATATCTTTCTCTGAGAGAAAGATAGTCTTCAAGTGCCTCCATAATTACTTCTTATAAATATTGTGACTAATTAGCAGTTGATATTGTTTTTATATTTGCTTCTGTTTATCCAGCACTTTCAGGAAATCCTTGCTAAAATCAGATTTTAAGGTATGTAAACTTTGCAAACATTCTTGGAGAAAAAAATGTGAAAGGTTGCAGTTGGATGCCTTACAGTATATACACCATGTAAACCAGTCTACATGAATACTAGATGCCTAAATAAAACTGAAGGATGAATTAACCCTGTTGGTGTATTGATGACATATTCATAATATGTCTGTGTGCCAGTCACTATGTCAAGAATTTGTTTTAATGCGGGAATAGCCTACATTATTGTATCTGGCACACTGTAGGTACTGCATAAATGACATTTAAAGTGAGTGAACTACCAGGTGTGATGAGTAATCTCAGAACTCAGGAGATTGAGGCAGGAGGATCACTGTGAGTTTCAAGCCACCCTGGACTACACAGTGAGTCCAAGGCCAGCCTGAACTGCATAGAGACTCTGTCTCAAAAATAAAATAAAATTTTAAAGTAAAATAAAAATGAATGAACAAATAAAACTTTCTCATAGTTGTAAAGCAAACTAGCTTTCTGCTAGACCTGTGCAGCCACCAATCTGCTTTTGGTTTCTATAGGTTTGTTATTTCTGGAAATTTCTTATAAATGTAATCATTCATTATGTAGTCTTGTGTCTGGCTTCTTTCACATGATAGTGTGTTTGATGTTCATCCACGTGTAATGTGTAATAGAAGTTACTTCTTTTTATTGTTGACTTGTATTCCATTCTATGTATATATTTTATTTATCCATTCACCAGTTTGAGAATATTATGCATGAAGATTTATCCATAAATCTTTGGATGAACATAAATTTTTATCTCTCATGGTATGAAATCTACAATGGAATTGCTGGTTTGAATGGTAAGTCTATTTTAACATTTTAAGGAACTGCCAAACTGTTTTCCAAAGTGGCTGATTTTACATTCCTACGAGCCACGTATGAGAGTTTCTTTCTCCACATATTTGCCAACACCTAGTAATGTCTTTTTGATTATGGTTATTCTAGTGAGCATATAGTAGTACCTGACTACGGTTTTAATTTGTATTTCCCTGATATTGTTGACCATCTTTTCATGTGCTTTCTGAGCCATTAATGTATCTTCTCCTTCTATCTCCTTCTTCTTTGTAGTGTTAGGAATTGAACTCAGGGCCTGATGCTAGGCAAGTGCTTCCCACTGAGCTATATTCCCAGCCCATGATATATCTTTTTTTGATGAAATGTCCATTCAAAAATTTTGTCTATTTTTAGATTATGTTTTTATCATTTGGTTTTAATTGTTTATATATTCCAGATATGAATTTTATCAGATAATTTGCAAACATATTCTCCTGTTCTATATTATGTCTTATCCTTTTTTTAATTATATTTTTATTTGTTTTGAGACAGGGTCTGGCTATGTAGCTTAGGCTGGCCTTGAACTCACTATGCAGTCCAGATAGATAAGGTTATTAAGATTTTCTCCTAATGTTTTACATTTAGGTCTACAATCCATTTAGAGTTAATTTTTGTCATCTGAATATACAACTGTTTCAGTACCATTTGCTGAACATGTTGTCTTTCCCCACCAAAATGCCTTGATGGCTTTTTAAAAAAAATACTTGAAGCCAGGAATAGTGGCACACGGCTGTAATTCCAGCCACTCAGGAGGCTGGGGCAGAAGAAATGGGGAGTTCAAAGACAGTCTGGGCAACTTAGCAAGACCCTGTCTCAAAATAAATAAAATGATTGGGGATGGGCTGGGGATTTAGCTCAGTGGTTCCGTCGCCTGCCTTGCAAGCGCAAGGTCCTGAGTTCGATCCCCAGTACCAAAAAAAAAAAAAAAAAAAAAGATTGGGGATGTAACTCAGTGACAGAGTGCTTGCACTGCAAGGTCCTGGGTTCAAACCCCAGAGCAGGGAGAGTGGTGTGGTGCAGAGGGGAATCCCTTGACTACTCTGGCATGATAGTGGATGTCTGTAGTCCCAGCAACTCAGAAGGCTGAGGCTGGAGGATTACTTAAATCCACAAGTTTGAGATCAGCCAGGGCAACACACCAAGATTTTAAAACAATCATTATTTGACTGTAACATAATGTAAAGGTTTATTTCTAGGCTCTCAATTCTGTTTCATTGATCTATTGCTAATCTATAAACCATACCATAATGCCTTGACTACTAAGAAGTTTTAGTTTTAAAATTGGGTAGTGTTAAGGGGCCAGGGATTTAGCTCAATAGCACCACACCTGACTGGCAAGTACAAAGTCCTGGGTACAGTTCCTGGTACCAGAAAAAAAAAATTGGGAAATTGGGTAGTGTTAGTCCTCGGACTTTGTTTTTCTTTTATAAAAAAAATATCTAGTTTTGGGCCGGGGATTTAGCTCAGTGGTTTCACCGCCTGCTGCGCAAGCACAAGGACCCAAGTTCAATCTCCATACCAAAAAAAAAACAAAACAGATTATCTAGTTTTGGCTATTCTAGGCCTTTTGCATTTGGGATCAGTTTTTCAATTTCTGCAAAATGGCCAGCTATGAATTGGACAGATCCTTTGCTTTGAATGGAAGGAAATTAATTAAACATATTAATTTGCAGCTGAAAATCCTCCCCTAAAAGCTCTAGTTTTGTATCTAAAAGTTAAAAATATTATTTATGAAAGCAAGCAAGTTTATTTAGCAAATCTTTGATTATTTAAAAAGTATTTTTGGATGCAACATCAAAATGTGATTCTCTAGTCATCAATGTCTTTTCTTCCTCCTCCTCCTCCCCTCCCACCTCCCCACTCTTTTTCTTCTCCTTCTTCTTTATAACACAAATGGTGAAGATGCTAAGAGAATGTAGAAGGGAAATTTGGTAAGCTATGTACCATTCATTTCAAAAGTGAAAATGGAACCGCAAGGTAGGCATGGTGCCCATGCACCTGTAGTCCTAGCTCCTCTAAAGGCTGAGGCAAGAGGACCACTTGGACCCAGGAACTTAAAACCACACTGAGAGATCTCATCTCCCAAAATAAATTATTATGCCAGGCATGGTGGTGCATACCTGTAATCCTAGGTACTCAGGAAGCTGAGGAAGAATGCTCACAAATTCAATGCCAGCCTGAGCAATTTACTGAAATTGTCTCAATATAAAATTTTAAAAAGGGCTGGGACATAGCTCAGTAGTAGAGTGCTTACCTAGCATTCATGAGGCCCTGGATTCAATACCCAGTACCAATAAACCAAATAAATAATAAAATTTTAAATGGGTATTCAGGGAAAAGAAATGAATCCATATGCTTAAGAGCTCTTTAAGGACTTAAACTTGGGTATATTTTACATAAGTTCTTTGAATTTTTCTTCAAATTAGGGCCAGGGATTTAGCTCAGTGGTTCTACCACCTGCCTTGAAAGCTAAGGACCCGAGTTCAATTCCCAGTACCAAAAAAAAAAACCAAAAAACCAAAAAAACAAAACTTTCTTTGCTTCTCGGCCTTTTGGCTAAGATCAAGTGAATTTTTCTTCAAATTAATTTTTATTGGTATTATATTAAATAACAATTACTATATTAAACACCTGTATAGTATATACACTATGTAGCAATTTGTAACAAAATTGATACAGTAAGTAAATACAAAGAAATAGAAAAGTGGATCCCTTAAGGTAAATGGAAATGATTGAGTTTGGAATATATGGAGAACTACCCTGAAGTGATATCACCAGATACTACTCAAAACTTCTGAATGCTATCACTGCAACATCATGTTGACTTTGGGTTAAAAAAAAAA